ATTTAAATTATTAATAATTCTCAATCAAATAATAAATACTAAAAATATATAAATTTCAATTAATCTAACCAAATTATTACATAATTTTTAATTTATAAAAGAGTAAATTATAAGACACACTTTTATAGAATAATTTTAAAACTCAAATAAAAATTTAATTATGACAAGTATAATTAAACGTGTATAAACAGGTTACACAGGTTAAACACCTCAACTCGTCTTGTGTTCAAGTCATGTTGACACGTATAATTAAATCTGTATAAACGGATTGAACACCTTAACCCAAATACGACACGATTAACTAAAATGATTAATTGTATTAACATGTTTAAGGTCAATTCAAACCTGCTAACTCGTGTAGTGTTCGAATCGTATTGACAGGTCGTATCAAATTTTGCCATCCCTAATCTCTCCCGGCACCACTCAATTAGTAATTTTTTTTTTTTTAAAAACAATTACAAATTTTGCTTTGTGGCACCCAGCAATAGTAATATTTACATAATCCTATAAAAAGTTATAATAATTACATCATAATCCTATTTTTACAAGTTAAGGAGAATTTAGTCCTATAAAATTTTTATTTGGACAAATAAATCCTACTTTTTAAATTTATTTTTTAAAAGTTATTATTTAAACTTTTTTCATTATTTCTCTTATTATTAAATTACCAATTATGAGATACCCAGAGAGGTTTATAATTATACTTACATTTATACATATATCTATACATATATATATATACACACACACATACATGCAAAAAAAAAATATATATATATAGTTTCTCCATTTTTCTCATCTCAGGGATGTTAATTCTCTTCAACCCACTCAACATCAACCTACTCAACAGTGAGTTGTTTTTGAAAGTTAAATTAGTCTTTCATCATACACAATTGAAGTATCATCAAAAGTACATATGATTTTATGTGACTTAGATCACAACTTATTTTGCTTGCATCTTAATATGTTAAACATGAAAATACACCATACCAGGGTAGCGTATAGTTACTACGTATCAGGCCAATCAAAACACCTCATTTACCTAATTGTAAAAAAATAGGATGTTGTGATTGGCCAATGATATTTAATACCAAGTTTCATGTCCAATTCCCTTGAATATTTATAGTCCAATTTCACATTTTCTACACATAACTCTTAATATTTTAGATTTCCAAGATTTTTGTTATAAATTCTTTATAAAAGTGCACATTTAATCGTTTAATAAAAGAGTACTTCTCGAGTTGTTTCATGAATTATTGATTTAAATGAATTTAACATATCTTGAAATTATATTTGAATAATGCACACATTTATTATTAATATTGTAAAATTAGTAATAGAGTGTTTTAAGCAATAATGTTACCAAACAAATTTAAAAATACTTTAAGTATAAAAAGTGTTTTATATAATGCATCACCAGACGCTTAATATGCTTTCTACTCAAAACACTACATTTATGACAGCTCTACTGATAAAAACATTTTTACCATTACAACAATAATTCCATACAACAATAATTCCAAACGAACTCGTAAATAATTTGATAAATAGATAATCAACTTCGAGGGTGGAATATATAATTATAATAATAATAATAAAACGTAGGTAAAAGAAAATTTGAGAGTTCGTTTTCACTTCTTTTTCAATGAGTAATTCACACAAAAATATATATATACAGAAAGACTCTCATGCGGTCCAAAACAATGGACTTTTTAAGGAACCAAAACTTAATTAGTTAATTATGCTTTATTACTTTATTAGACATAACCATAGTTAATAATGTTAACTTTAATAGTTAATTTACCATAATTAGCCAATACCTTTATTCAATATTTCTCCTCTTAAATCTCTTCCATCTTTCTTACAATCTCAACTACTACCCCATATTCACACTATTACAACCACCATCTTCACCATTACAGCCACAACACAATTACCATATTTATTCCCCAACATATGAGAATTAAAAAACAAAAAATATGTAAATTTGAAAATTAATATAAATTAAAAATATTATTTTTTCTACATATAAAATAAATACGTGATTTTATGATGTATAAAGGTATTCGTGAAGTTATATTGTAATTAGAAAATTAATGGAAGAGTAAAGGAAAGCTTTTGATTGTTTACAAAAGATTAAAAAAAAAAAAAAAAAAAAAAAAGTTGAACAGGTTTCATGCTAGTTGAATCTTGTGATTATGTTTCCCGTGTGCAACCTTGCTGTGGGGAAAATAACAGAAATGGTATGAAGAAGGGCTCTTATTAAATATATATTCAGATCCAGAACACATTGTTATCTCTGCTCTATATATATATATATATATATATATATATATTTTATTTTATTTTTCCTGGTTGGGACTCACACATACTGTCTCCACTAAGGTTCGAATTCTTGACCTCCCTTTGGAAAGTAAGAGTCTTGTACCGTTAGGCTATAGACTCGTTGGTTATATTTGTTTTTTTCTCACACCATTCCTTCTTTTTCACTGTCTAGAAAATGACAGATGCCATAAAAATCGATTCATGTGCCGATATCAAAACTATAAAAAATCGTCTTGGATTAGTGACAAATATAACCTGTGTTACAGAATAAATTGATTATTAAAGTTAATATTATTAATTCTGGTTAAGTCAGTAATAAAGTGTAATTGACTAATTGAATTTTGTTCGGTTGGAAAGTCCATTATTTTGGATCACATGAGAACCTTCCCGTATATCTATATCTATATCTATAATTGGAATCATTTATTCAACTTTAAATTTGTCAACTTCCTTATAACTTAAATATGTTAATACTTCAAAAAAAAAAAAAAAAAAAAAAAAAAAAAAAAAAGAAGGGTATAATATCTTTTAAAATTGAGGACAAATTAATATTTTTATTAGTGGCCTCATCATCATATAAGAGATACATAGCTCGAATTTTATTAGAGATGCTAGCATTGAGCTTTTGCGAATACGCAGCGGAGAGCGATCTTGAGATAACAGGCTTGGATTACATCTACACATGTGTGTATATATATATATATATATATATATATATATATATCACACACACATAACGTATGGACTGCACATTTGACGCATTGCACTCCTCTAAATTTTGCAACTGAAATGATTGTTTTGCCCTGCTTTGTACATGAATGTTGTAAACATCATTTAGAAGATGAAGGGTACTTTGTTATTTCAATTATTAAAATAAAACAGGGAAAAAAAAATATTAAAATAAAAAGTAAGAATAAATTTATCATATTAATTATTATAAAATAAAAAGATGAGTACAATTTAAGCTCCCTTTGAAGAAACTCAGTGGAGTTGAACGGAAAGTGAAGCAAATGGATCATTAAATTTAAAGGTATTTTTTTATTTTTTGTCATTTTAATATGAAAACATTTTTTATATTTTAATATATTACAAATAAATAAAGGCTTACCTAACTTTCTATATTTCGGAAAGTAAAAGTAATAAGTTCTAAATGGGTATGCAATATTATTAGTATGTTCATTAATACAAATTCATTGTAAAATAAAAATGATCTTTTAACACATAAAAATTATTACGTGATTATGGACCAATTATCATCAGGCACGTATGTATCTGTATGGAAAATTTATAAGTTTTTTTTTTTGCTATCTTATTTAATTTGCTAGGTCCATTTAAAAATTAAGAAACTATTACATTATACAGGGGGTTGGGACTCTTGGTCTCGATCAATTACCACTTGACACGATATGTAAAAATTTTTCCCACGCACCTAATAACATACTTTTTCAAATTGATGCGTCCAAGTTTTCATTGTCATATAGAGTAACAATTTTACACGCATCCGCTCATTTTTAGAAATTTTTTAAAGAAATTATTATGTAATCCGGACCATTGGTAGCACAAATCATTCTACTTAATAATTTAAAAAGTATAATAATTGATTTCGCCAATCACACAAGTTGTCACAGGTGAAGCAAAAAAAAAAAAAATTGAATTTAACATTTTTACTTGCACCGGGAGAACAGATCCTGGGATGTCGCCGCCGAATCCTATAATTACTAGGTAATATTTCAGATCTCTATTTTTTGTGCGTTCAACTTTTAAACTTTTCAATCTTTTCTTTGATCGTTTATTCACTCAGCCTTGGTGTCCATCATAGATCCATCTCTGCTCTTGCCACTATTTTTTTATTTTTTATTTTTAAATACTAACATTTGATCTTATCAGAGAGAGAATATATGCGTATGTGTCCTTCCAAATTGTTGTGTTGGTTGATACGTATTGTTATTTATTTATTTTTGCCATTTGTTTGATGTTTCAAGTTCTAAAAGGTTCAATAGGGAAGGAAGGAAGGAGGCTTATCGATTTTGCGCCTAGCTGATTACTGTGTGACTTTATGTCGAACTGCACTGTTGTGGGGGAATATAAAGTTTTGGTGCCTAAGGACCAGGAGTTACCCCCTATTCATGAACTTTTGGAGTTTATATGGTAGAAGTCAAAATTCATCTCTTTCTTGGTTTCCTTTTTTGGGTTAATATGTTTGATTGAGGTTTTGATTTATATAATTGATTTTGTTTTCGGTACAGTTATGGTATTAAGTGGAGCCCTACACGTTCTATTTTCAAGTTGTATTTCATGTTATGCCTGCCGAAAGTGGTATGCAGCTTTTGTATTATATTACTCATATTGATGTTAGAAAATTTATCATTCAGATCACTCTTGGGATAAATTACACTAATTCTATTCAATACAATTTTGTGACAGGGAGGACTATGGGAGATTACTAGTACTTCCCTATATCGCACAAATCGCAAGGAGCTTCAGGATCTCATTTGCCATTATGCGGAAGGAGGACAGCCCATTAAGTTGGCTGCTTTGCTTTGCTTTCTTCCGGTTGGATTTTTCTGTTTTTCATTAGATGGTTGTGGATGTGCTGAAGAACAACGAAAAAAGACCTAATGGTTAACTAGAATTGAGACATTACGTGAAAGGATTTCAACTAAGATCTTGTCACTAATTGTTGAGGAGCAGAAATTAATGGGCAGTGGAAGCAGTAATTTGGCTCAGATATGCAAGAAGAAGAAGATGTTGATGGTGTCTGTGATGTCGTTGCTTGAAATCTACGAGAGATTTGGTGATGGTATAGGATCTTGTGTGACCGAGGCAAATGACGGTGTATGTTACAATACTGGCCTCCTCAGTTCCCTACTTTCTTTCTCGTGAATTTGATGACACTGGTGTAGTATTGGCTAACTAATAGCTTTTATGCTGGTTGACCGGTGTCCTCATGCAATCCCAGTCAACTATTTTTTCTGGGGTTGGATAGTAAACTATTGCCTCCTTACAAAGGTTTTTTTTATTTTTACTTTATTTTTTATTTTTTATTTTTATTTTTCTACTTTTTAAAATTTCATTTGCCTTCTTTTTTGGTTCCTTTTAACAGACATTGGAGCAGTCTGAAAGAATGGCAAATATTCTTGCAGACAAGCTCAAGGAATCAGGCTTCCCAGTCAAGAATGAATTTTTTGAAGTTTTTAAACATCTTAACTGGTTTGTCATGCCATCTACTTGTATTTTATATTGTTTTCATGCCATCTACTTGTATCTAATATGGTCTTTTGTTTCATTCCTGGCTTGGTTTGTTTGCTCTTGTTATTTTGTAACAAGTCTACACTGCATTCCTTAATAGCTAAGACTAATGGATATCTTCTTATTTTCTTCCATACCTGGATGTGGAAGTTCCTGTGATGAGCGGCAACCGAAGGTTTCAGGTTGTTGATTGATTTCTTCCTCTTACATTATACTCACTGGTATGTCACAAGTATGGCAAAGAAGTATTAGTTTGGCAAGTCCTTTTTAAAGTTGTTAACATATTGTATTTTTTCTTCTCTTTTTTAACTGATTCAGGTGGTGCTTGTGGATCTAAATTTGAACAAAGGGATCCTAAAATCCCAGTCTACACAAAAATTCAGAGTCCTCCAATAACAAAGGTAAAAAAGATAATAGCCAACTTCCTCTTATTCTTCTCCTCTCTCACTCCCTCTTTAATTTTTTTTTTTTTACCAAGTGTTGGTGAGGTTCTGGTCTCTGAAACTACTGACAGGCCTTTCTAACAAGTAATTTGTTGAATTCATAATAATCAAGTTAGTTAGTTTATGATAGTATGATTAGGGTAATGGACAAGAAAAGATATCAGGGATTGGTTGGGAAACTTATATATTTATCTCACACTCGCAGCTAGGCATTCTGGTTGATATCCATCTAAGGCCTGGATATTTGTACTTAGCTGTTTTGGGGTTCTCATAAGTCCAAGATGTTGTATTATGTAAAACTTGAGTTTTTTTGTAAGGCTGGGCCCGAAATCCTCTACCTTCGCTCTAGTTATGGTTTTAGGGTGTTTCTTAGGGGAATCTTTCTTGCTGACGAGAGTCAACGGGAAGAACAGATAGATCTTAGGTTAGGGAAGGCCTTCATAATCGAATAGCTGAGGGCCTTCAACAGCCCCTAAAAAATGAATCTTGTTGATACCTTTGAGGAAACCTAAAGTTTCTTTTTTGTCGTAGTCTCAGAGGTAACAGAAGGGAAGGCAAAAGCCTATGAAAAAATAGAACTAGAACTAAGGCATGGAATTGAGAAAGGGATTGGTTAGTAAGAAATAGGGGCTGTAGCTAACGGGTCAGGAAGAAAATCTCATTTTGAATTCTGAAACTAAAAGATCTTAATAGTAGAAAATGACCCGATGAATGGCTAGAAAATATTCCTTATGTTGGGAAGTGAAAATCCATGGTCCCGCCAATGGAATAATAACGGCTGCTTTCCGACCCGAATCTTTGTTCTTCTTCTCCCTTTCTAGTCTTGTCAAAGCCAAATCCCTATCCCTTTACTATACTATAAAATAGTCCAAGCCAATAAAGTTCCCCCAGCACCTGAAAGCCTAGCTGCGCTACAATCCAATCAGATCGGTGCCCTTTGGTCGACGAACTGAACTTTGCTTCTAACAAGCTGGGATGAAGTTTACGAGGATCGGGAGTGAGTATGGCTTCTAACCCTTTCTCTTGTCTTCAAAATATCTTTGACAACTCTTACCAAAGGACCAAATGGCCCAGCGGTATCATCCCTTCCTTTTCAAAGGGAAACCTCGGTGGAGGTACGATGTGTGCGTAATTGTTTTAACTTCCAAAAAAAAAAAATATATATCTTTGACAACTCTCAACAGAAAAAGCCTTCGATCTGAGGGCTCTATTATTCCTCCAAATAAAAAGAAAAAGTCAATTCACAATTCCACCACTATCTATCTTTCTTGCTCTTCCAAGGGCTGGTGCTTTCCTTCGCTTGACCCCAATAAGTAGAATGATCCTGGGCACCTATCCACTCCACTCCGTCAGAGCAGTTATTTTTGTCAGACATTCCAGTAGTCCATTGCTATATGTTTCCTGTGTCTTTATCCCCAGTTCGCCCGCACTTTATTCGTTGCTTAGATGGTCCTGTCCTATTTCGGTCATCGCGAATGATTTATCGTAAGAGATGTGAATTGTCATCCTACTGGTTCCGTATCTCCCTCAGGTTGAAAGCCTGGTGTTCACTGCTCTTTTAGTGTAAATGGAGAAAACTCCCGGCCACTTCCATAGCCTTTCCCGTCCTTATGGCTGGAGACATCTAGGCGAGTGGTGGACCTTGCAGCTTGTAGTAGACGGCGCCAGAAGAAAGAATAGCAGGCCTCCAACAGTTCAAGTACGGAAAGGACTCAATCCAGTGATACTACAACGGACCCCCGAAGATCCTCCTGAAGAAAGAAGTCAAGAATAAGAACATCAGCTTAATTAGGAACTTGTTTCCCGTTGTAATAAACATACTTCCAAGCTTCCTAAATATAAGAGCACTAAATATATGAAGATTAATAGTGGAGTCAGACGGCTGTTTCTCCAACCAAATGACTCCTCTGGTAACTTCCGCCGTCACTCTCCCATGGGTAGGGGAACTAGGCTAGCAGAGAGATCAATCCCCTTGATGCAACTTGCCTTTGCTAACCTTGCCTTACCCACAGCAAGCTGACAACAGCCATGCATGCAAGACTTTTATTGCTTTTCTGGCTTGGAATATCAGAAAATGGACATGCAAGAAATGGAGTTGGATTCATTATGATTCGGAGAGTGATATTGTATGTCTATATGAAACTAAGCAGTAGGTTAGAGATTGAGAACACAGGATATAAACTTTATTAGACTGGAAACGAGAAACTGAGAAATGGAGTAGCGGTTATCCTCAATGAGAATTTAAGCGATGTTATAATTATTTTTAGAAAGAAGATCGGATAATATACTTAGCACTTATGCACACCCCAAGTAGGACTAGCTGGAGACAATTTTTTTTTTTGGGTATGTGACTGTGAATTGCGTGGTGTGGAAGTGATTAGTTAATTTAGTGAAAGATGGTGTTGCTTAGAGCTAGAGGGGGTAAATAAGTCTTCTTGTGATTTTTATAACACGGAGACTTGTCTCGGGCAAATTAGTCCACTGTCTCAATGAAAAGTTACACAAACCCTGTCTCAATCTCACACCCACTCCATTATGCCAAGAACTAGTTGCTAAACTTTCTAGACTAACTCTTGCGACTCCCCATAATTCTTGCGGACGGGTTGGTGAATAACATGAACAATATGTTCCCTTCGTAGCGATTGACTCCCCTTCCTTCCACACACAATTGCGAAGATGTAAGAAAGAATCTGCTGCGCCGATTGAACTGGGTAAACTGATGCTGTCTTTGAAAATCCATTTATCATATGAAAATCATCACCCTAAAACACTCACATTTATGTGTATATTCTAGAAAGTATAAAAATATACTTAGAAATATCATTCGAAGCTCCAAACTCTAATAATGTAGTGGTACTTTTATACTATGTGTGTCTGTGTCTGTTTTGGACTTATTCAAAATGATCCTACGTAGAATTCAGATTTTTAAAACCTTGTTAATCATCTTCTTCTGGAAGAAATTGAATTCAAGTGATAAATACGAAAAATATATTGATGGGGGATTCCTAAAATCAATCCCATAAATCATACTTATGATATTCTTCCAACACCCATCCTTGTGTTGGTACACAAAGATTTTCTTAAGTGTCCAACTTGAAGCTAAATATGAAGTTGTCGAGAGCCCGAGACAAGTTGATCCAAGACGAATTTAGAGTAAGGTATGATAAGCCTGCTTTGATACCATGTTGATAAAAAAAATAAATGATTGAAGAGAGAAATTAGGAATGAAACAATAAAAGATATACGTGGTTCGGCCACTACAGCCTACATCCACGGTAGACAAAACCAAAAGGGGTACATCTTTTATTAGTCTCCTTGTTTTGTTTACAATGACTACCTTTATTTATAGGTGAAAGAATACAAGTGATAAATATGAAAAATACATTAATGTAGGATTTCTATTTATGGGATTGATTAGTCTGACAATCACATATAATATATAGCATGTACAAAGGAGTTGAACCCCCCCCCCCCCCCCAAAAAAAAAAAAATGTTTCTCCCTCTCTCCCCATGTGTATTTCCCAATCCTAATCGAAGCCACTGTAATTAGAAATCTTAAACAACCAAGTCATAGGCTTTATTATCTGTGTATCCCAATCACACGAGGGAGAACAGATTCAAGACTGTCACTTGTCCTTTCTCAACTTCTAATAGGCTTGTCCCGTCCTCTTTATTGTAAGTTGTTCCTCCAGCCTATCCACAAATCATGTCCCTTTAGAGATTGGCTTCTTGTTTGTTGCCTTTTTCAGGATCGGTTATTTTCTTTGTTTTCTTCTTCTTCTTCTTTTGATATAGATTAGTTTATTCTATATATAAATATTAACCCTTTTCTTATTAATATGTGCTTATAGAACATAGAAAATGAAATATATGTTTTGAGTATGATATGATGTTCCTTCTCCGTGCCCAATTATATAGGAATTGCTACATTTGGAATTCACTGATGGGAGCTTTCATGTTAGAATTCCATCAGAACATAATTTTGTCATGCATCTTTTACACGCATTGGAAAGTCCAGTATTATGTTAGCATGATTTTGTATGCATCTGTATACCATTTCTGCCTTCCCTCTTGTGTAATCTTAATTATGACAGTAATTGCTGTTTACCATCCCATTTTTGCAGAGGCAAACAAATGGAATGTCACTTGGGCAGCAACGGAGGCCAATCTCGACACACTCTTTGCAGGAGAAACGAGGTTTACTTTCTATGGTGCAGTCAAATTATATGTCACAGAGGTTTACAACAAAGTTCAGTCCAAAGTTTTGGACAGCTACTGAAGCTCAGACCAGGCGACCTGTGCCAGGTCTTGCGTTATGCAAAAAATTGTCCTCGTTTCTGTCAGTCATCAAGAGGGGTATTTGATATCCCTGAGTGGCATATTTTCAGATATGAATGATGAAATTATCCTCCATTTTCTAGATTTTTCCTTCCTAACTTATAGATCCAAATTATTCCTAGTGGCATCTTTTTGTTGTGGATTTGGTTGTTCTTTGATTGGAAGTTTTACATTTTCACTTATTCTGTATGATGAGTTTTATACCAGCATGCAAAGTACAGTAGCATTTTCTTATTCACTAGCTTCTTTAACTTGACAAGGTTTTGGCATGCTGTACTTTTTTTCGTTAGCTAAGATTTTTTCCCACTAGGTTTTCAGCTAAGGTTTTAATGAGACAGTTTTAAACTATGTAATACCATTTTGAGATACACAACAATATTGTACTCTTTTTCTTTAACTAAGTTTTTATCTCACTGGATTTTTCTTAGCAAGATTTTAATGAGGTATATTTTCAGTGTAGTTTGATAAGACCCCAATGGAAAGTGTTGCGAAAGTCAATTATGTGGGGTTATGTATGTAAGAAGAAGATAAATGTATGGATTGTGTGTGCATGGGCGTGGGATGTGAATAATAAGGGAAAAAGAACAGTGAACTATTTGGGAAAAACTGCCAACACACCGAAAGAGAAGAAATAATAGAAAGCTTAGCTTCTTCTTTCCTTGTTCCTTCTCATCTTCTATGTTTTATATTTCTTGTTCTATATTTTGTTCTAAATTTATAAAATGGGATTCCTAATTACCATAGCACAACGATTTTTTTTTCAAGGAGCGTTACCATTTAACCAAGTCAAAACAATATACTGTAAATGAAGGTCAAATTGCAATAAACTCCATTAATTTTGAAAATTTGCAAAATACTCTGCAATCTTCTCTTATTTTCTTTGGCAACAATCCACTCTCAATTTTACCATTGTTGCAAATTACCCCTAATTCCATAAAACTCCACTTGAATCCAATGTTTTGAAAAGATTATGTTTTTTTTTTTTTTTTTTCATTTCATGCAGACCAAAGAAATCAAGAACTAGAACAATCTACAAACAGTGCCTCCAACAACCATGGGGGTCATACATCCCAATCAAACTCCCCTATTTGGTTATGAGCAGCCCATCTACTCAAAGGCATGAGCTACCCCATTAGGACACTAATTGTGAAACATCAACACACACAGAAGCAAATAAACAATTGGTAGGATTTAGGGACAAGACGTTTTTACAGTTGCCCTCAATCACCACAGCACCATTGTAGCCCCAGCTTAGCATGAGAAAAGATTATGTTTAAAAAATGGAACTGTGCGAATTGAAACTTTGTCTCAATCTTACACGGACTACCGTATTTTACAAGGACTAATAAATTTGTGTGCTGAATTTGGGAAAACGACTGGGAAACTTTGGGGGCATAATACACCGGAATATTGTAGATTTTTTTCTTAATAATACAGGGGAGTGATGAGGTGTGAGTAACAAATTTATGTGTTCCTATCACATTAAAAACATAATTTTTTATAGACAAAATTACCCTCTCCAAAAAAGGAAAGGAAAGAATCAAGTTAGGGTAATTGAAAGGATCGTAAAATAAAATTTTAAAGGGCCCTCAATTTTTTATCCCATGCATGTATATAGAAGATGCCACAATATAACAAAAAGGCTCAAAAATTAACTGTTTTTGGTTAATGAATTAGTATGAATTTACATTTTTGTTCTTAAAATTAAACTATTTATCTAATAAAAAAATCTAAAAAAATTGTGTATTGTTACAGTTATGATTTTGCCCCTTCTCGAAAAACACTCCAGTTGGGACTCCACTTTCTTTCCTCCTACATATATACACACACGGACAATCACACATATAACTCTCTGCCGAATTCAAACAACTTTGTTAACCTTAAAAATTTAGGGTTTTGATTTTATACAAATATTTATAGATAGATAGATGTATATGCATATATATAGAGATCGATCTGAAAATTCATATATATACCTATACACACATGCAGAGGCATTTATTGCCATTTTTTATTTTATCTTTTATTTGCCACTGATCTGGGTTTTCAATTTTGGGTTAATCTCACCCTAGACTCTGGTTTGCAACACTTTCGCTCAAGGACCTTGTAAGCCTTCAATGATATATACATATATGTGATCTACTGACAATCCATTCTTCTTGATGAATAAATTAGATCCATTCTTCTTGATGAATAAATTAGAGAGAGAAGTTCTTGAAGTAGAGAGCAACGTTCGGTAATGAGAGAGACGGGGGTAATGGCGATACTGATATCCAATCCAAATGGAAGAAGGGTACTTTTGTCCCGGAGAAGACGTAATTTCAGTTAACATGAATGAATAATTTGGTCCTTTCACAACACGAAAGTTAGTTTTGTTGTTGTTATATGGTAGCTCTTTTTGTTGTATATCTTTGGTTTTATGTTTGGTTCTCTTCCCCCTACTTGGGGCGCTCAGCTCACAAATGAAAGTTTGTGTGTAAGGTCCATGAAACCACAATGGTAGTTGACCAATGTATTGTACTACCTTCTATACACATGCACAAGATAATAATTTGAGGAGTACTTTGTGTAATTTGCCCAATTCTAAAAGACCGGTCAAAGTCAATAATGTGTGTGTATATATATATATATATTTTTTTTTGCACCAATGATGTATATAATTTGATTTAAAGAAGTGCGTAAATTTTGGACTATTGTTGTAAATAAATTTTGAATAAATTATACTGATCTCACTTAAAGTTTGGGTAAATCTCAGCCCGATAAAGCCTTTGATTAAGAGTGACAATTTGTGTTCGCGGTCCATAATTGTGTCGTGTCGATATAAGGGTATTATATTAAATAGTTCAACCCGAACATGACTCGTTTAATAATCTATTTAATAAAATCAAATAATTTATTATATAAATTATTAATAATACTCTATCAAACATTAAATACCAAAAAAATATAAATTTTAATTTAACCAAATTACTAAATAATTTCTAATGTACAAAAGAATAAGTTATAAGATAAAAGTTTAGATAGTTATTTTGAAACTTAAATAGAAATTTGTTTATGACCCGTATAATTAAACGGTATAAATGGGTTATACGGGTTGAACCCCGCAATCTTGATACGACACGATTAACTAAACGAGTTAATCGTATTGATCCGTTTAAAGTCAATATAAACTCATTTAACTCGTGTCGTGTTCGAATCGTATTGACGGATTGGTGGATCGCGTCAAACTTTGCCAACCCTACTTTTGATAAGAAGGAGACTATAGTATTTGCCTAATTGTGAAAAAAATATATATACATATATACACACACATCCACCGAGGCATAATGGAGTTATGGGACACTCGCAAATGACAAGTGGTGCATCGGCTTAATTTTTCGGTTTAGTCGCATCTCTTGCCTTGCCCTATTTCTTTTTGAAATCCTAACATTTGATCTTATCAGAAAGATACTGTATGCGTATGTGTCCTGACAAATTGTTGTAGTTGTATTGGTTGATACGTATTTTTTGCCATTTGTTTGATGTTTTAACTTCTAAAAAAGGTTGTATCTCTTTCTCTTTACATTTACGCATCCGATTATTGTTATTATTATGCCGACGAACCGGAAACTTACACTTCGATGGACTACGATGTTGCTTGATGAAGTTGTAGCATTTGTAAGGTAAAAGTCAGAAATCATCTTTGCATTTGTTTCTTTCTTTAGTTGTTCTTAGACACACAGAAATGTTCAATCTTTATAGTATTTATTTATTTATTTTTGGTTAATTTGGGTTTCAGTGAGGTTTTTTTTTTTTTTTCAGCCACGATTTTGAGTGGAGCCCTAAAGATTCTATTTTCAAATTGATTATCATGCTTTGCCTGCCGGAAATGGTAAGCTTCTGTAGCAAATATAAGTTTGTTGTGGGGGATTAATTAGACAGAGTAAGGCCATTCCAGAGGTCCCTTATTGTGATTCATTCAAAATAAATTTTGTGACAGCAAGAGCGGTGGGAGACTCTTAGGGCAAGTATACTTCGTACAAGAGAAGATTTCGTTCAGGAACTAAGTGTCCATTCCGCAGAAGAGGGAAAGCTCATTGAGTTGGTTGCTTTGCTTTCCGTAGATTGCACTGATTTTCACACTGGAATAGCAAATTATTATGGTCAAATTGATAGGTTAACTGCAATGGAGATATCACGCGAACGCGTTGCAACTAAGATGGCGTCACTAATTGTTGAGGAGCGGAAACTAGCCGGCAGCAGTAGAAGTAATGAATTGGTTCAGAAGAAGAGGTTGATGATGTCTGTGATGTTATTGCTTGAAATCTTTGAGAGGATTGGTGAGGAGATAGAATATTTGGTGTCCGGATCACATCTTATTGTATGTTACAACACTTTAACTCAGTTTCTTTGTGAAATTGATAGACATTAGTGTTGGTGTTGCCTAACTTATAACTTTTATGTTGGTTCACCTCCTGCAATACCGCCGGTTCCTTGCAGCTGACTGAGAGTTCGAAGCGGGCTGAAATAATGGCGAAGTTTCTTGTTTTCAAGCTCCGGGATTCAGGCTTCCCAGTCACCAATGAATTTGAATTTTTTAAACAGATGATGAACTGGTTTGTTATACAATATGCTTGTATTTTATATGGTTTGTCTTGCCATATATTTGTCTTTTATACGGTTTACTTTGTTATCATCTGTCATCTATAACAATTTTTCCCTGAATTACTTAATAGCCAACACTAATGGATATCTTCTTCTTTTCTTCCGTATTTGGACATGAAATTAACTGTTTATTAGCAAAAGTTATATGGATGAGCGGCAAGGGAATTTGTCAGGTTGTTGATTGGTTCCTTCCCCTTACAATTAACTCAATGTATTTCATGAGTGTTCCAAAGAAGAAACAGTTTGACACATCTTGTTTAAAGTTGTTAATGCGTAGTATTTAACTGATTCAGGTTGTGGTTGTGGATCTACTTTTGAACAAAAGGATACTAACACAAAGATTCAGAGTCCTCCAATAACAAAGGTAAGAAACATCTTTCTCTCTCTATACATATATTTAAAAAAGAAAAAAAGAAAAAGAAAAAGAAAAAGAAAAAATTTTTATAAATTGTTGGTGGGGTTTTCAGTCTCTGAAACTACTGACTCATCTTCTAACAAGTAATTTGTTGAATTCATAATAATTAAGGAAGTTAGTTCATGATAGTATGATTAATCTAAGGACTCAGAATGTTGGAAAAGGGACATGCAAAAAATGGAGTTGGATTCATTATGATTGGGAGAGTGATATTGTATTTCTACATGAAACTACTAATTAAGTAGGAGAAAAGTTTAGAAAATTGAAAACATGGGATATAAACTTTATTAGACCGGAAAAGAGAAACTGAGATATGGAGTAGGGTAATCATCAATGAGAATTTAAAAGCTGCTATAATTATTATTAGAAAGATGGATAATACAACTTAGCACTTATGCACACCCAAAGTTGGACTAGATGAACACATTTTTTATTTTATTTTTGGTAAGTGACTGTGTTGTGCGGTGTGAATGTGTTTAGAATTTACTTCTCCTCTCTATGTTTCTCCCTCTCTCTCTCTCTCTATGTGTTTTTCCCAATCCTAATCGAAGCCACTGTAATTAGAAATCTTAAACAACTAAGTCATAAGATTTATTATGTGTATCCCAATCACAGGAGGGAGAACAGATTCAAGACTGTCACTTGTCCCTTCTCAACTTCTAATAGGCTTGTCCCGTCCTCTTTATCGTAAGTTGTTCCTCCAGCCTCTCCACAAATAATGTCCCTTTAGAGATTGGCTTCTTGTTTGTTGCCTTTTTCAGGATCAGTTATTTTCTTTTCTTTTGTTTTCTTCTTCTTTTGATATAGATTAGTTTATTCTATATATAAAAATTAGCCCTTTTCTTCTTAATATGTGCTTATAGAACATAGAAAATGAAATATATGTTTGAGTACGACTTGATGTTCTTTCTACGTGCCCAATTATATAGGAATTACTACTTTCAGAATTTACTGATGGGAGCTTTCGTGCTAGAATTCCATCAGAACATAATTTCGTCATGCATCTTTTACATGCATTGGAAAGTCCAGTATTATGTTAGCGTGATTTTGTATGCATCTGTATCCCATTTCTGCCATCCCTCTTGTGTAATCTTAATTATGATAGTAATTGCTGTTTACCATCCCATTTTTGCAGAAGCAAACAAATGGAATGTCACTTGGGCAGCAAAGGAGGCCAATCTCGACACACTCTTTGCAGGAGAAACCAGGTTTAGTTTCTATGGTGCAGTCAAATTATATGTCACAGAGGTTTACAACAAAGTTCAGTCCAAAGTTTTGCACAGCTACTGAAGCTCAGATCAGGCGACCTGTGCCAGGTCTTGCGTTATGCAAAAAATTGTCCTCGTTTCTGTCAGTCATCAAGAGGGGTATTTGATATCCCTAAGTGGCATATTTTCAGATGTGGATGATGATATTATCCTCCATTTTCTAGATTTTTCTCTGCTAACTTATAGATCCAAATGATTCCTAGTGGCGTCTTATTGTTGTGGATTTGGTTATTCTTTGATTGGAAGTTTTACATTTTCACTTATTCTGTATGATGAGTTTTATACAGGCATGCAAAGTACGGTAGCATTTTCTTATTCACTAGCTTCTTCGACTTAAAAATAAAATTGCTAATGGTTTTTTTCATCTGATTGTAGGAATATGAAAACTGTAGTATCCATTTAGATGCAGACATTGATGTTTTGTGGGACTTCTTTAAATAATCTATCCAATCTAACCGGTTACCATTGCTCTCTGCGCCCCCTCTGCCCTGGAGTCTCACCTCACCTCTTTTTCTTCTTGTTGTGTGATTTGGCCTCCCCAATCTGAAGTTTCATTCAATCTAAATGTGTTTTCTTTATCTTCCCCTTGGATTTGTCAAGCCTATAGCTTGGGATTCGTACCACTGGAAACACACTAGGCTTAACAATTCCATCTTCCTTCATTCTTGCATCCACCGCATTTTGTTTTAAGAGAGAGAGGGGGTGAATAGTGGAGAGCTGATAACAGCTTCCAGAAAAATTATCACCTACTTCTAAATTTCTTATTGGAAGACGAATAAATCTTAAATAGATTTTTAGTGGGCATTGTTGTTGCAATCTTCTTGGGCTGCCTGGATGTTGGGCTGCTTGGGCCAAATGGCCTTGTAAATTTTATTTTATTTTATTATTATTATTATTATTTTTCTCTTGGCAATTTTAGATATGTTAGTACAGCCATTGTACAGGGGAGGGGGAATGATGTGATGGGAGTCGAATCAGAGTCATGCTGCAATAATGATGGAACCTGTGAAGCCACCAATGGCCAAAGCCGCACCCCGCCTTGTAAATCGTTCATACACTTATAAATTGCTTAACAGTTCAAAAAAGAAAAAGAAAAAGAAACAACTTACGTTAGTACATATATGCATATATAATTATTATGCAAACGAAGGACACTGTCTGCATGCATTTAGGGTAATTATTATTCTTTTACAAATAACTCTTTGTACTAAAAAGTACTCTTTGAACTATTGATTTGTTGTCATTAAGGACAAATTCAAAAGGTTATTTTATCTTTCCTCATTATGTAATTTCTTATTATCTTTTTTCTTATATAAATATTAATTATACTATTTACCATAATTTTATTATTAGTATCAATTTATCATAAAAATGAAAAGAAAAAAACAAGATTGGTAACTATCATTTTTTTTAAATGATTAACTTATTATTGAAATTTTATTATTTAAAATAAAACTTACTATAACCATTTTAAAAATTTTTACCGTAGTAAAATACCTCATTTTTTTCATACAATATATTGATGAAAATTTAATAAATTACTTAAATACAAAAAAAAAAACCTTATTTTTCAGGTAAGATATTCCATGAAAATTAAGAAATTAATTAAAAAAATTCTACTTAATATTTTTATTTAAACAATTAATTTTAAAAATTAAAGATAAATTTATGCAAATTTAATGAAGAATATGTCATCTAATAATTAGTATTTTTTTGTTCATAATTTATTTCAATAAAAAAAAAATTAAGTGTCATTAATAAAAAATGCATTATGATCATTTAATGAAATATAATATAGTCTAGGCATTGAGGGAAGGTTATTTACAAATTCAAACGTAGTTTAGGAAATTTTTTGTACTTTATACATATAATCTCCTGAACTATAATGGAGCTGTTAGTTCTAGTGTGAAATTATCTTGTCGTGTGAGTATTAATTTTTAAGCTCAAGATTGTTGGTCTTTAATGACTTAAAAAATCAAAAGAATAACGGTTGAAACCAATGCCTTAATAGAAAATCAAAATTGAATAATAATAATAATAATAATAAAATCTAAATCCAAGTTCATTTAATGACACAAGGTCACACAGAAAATGGACGAGTTTCCTTGCTATTATCATTTGCTTTCCCATACAACCTTCAGTTGTTACATGCCACTTGCTTATTCTCTCACAGTAGTGACAGTATAGTATATACACATCCATCTTATATACATCACACACATATATTGGGTCACTGAAGTGAAAACTAAGAAGCTAAAGCATTCATTTGGACTCTGAACAAAACTTAAACGCTTTTTGATAATTAAATACAATGATCAATAAAATAAGGTAGCAGTGGCGACCAAACGATACTAAAGGAGCAAACATTCTTGGCCTAAACTTGTCAAGCCATATTATATTGAACATTGTTCAAAAAGCAAGTCCATAAGCGAGGCCTTCTTTCAATGAACTGAGAGATCTCCGGCAGAACATGGGAGTGTTAAAATAGCTCAAAGGTGGCTTGCTCACCCTGGCCCTAGCTCTTTAGCTCAGCTATTAACACGCTGTCAAATAGCTTTCGGGTAAGGCTCGTTGAGACCTGCAACATAGCGGCTAGCACCAAAATACATAAGCAAAAATCCACCCGACTGCCAAGTCTCCAAAAGTCAGCCTAAAGTCAACCTTACTACTGAGCCGTAGAC